GGACAAACAGCCTTGATGGCACCTCGTTGCAGCATAAACGCTGGACTGTTGGATATAAATGATTTTGTAATGTTTCTAAAGGTTCGCGCTGACATGTTCTCCTCTTATCCTAACATGTGTGTTCTCCCTGTCAGGGCTGCTCCCTGTGTCTGCCCAGTCTGAGCTCCATGCTGCCACAGCTTTTTAAGGCAGTCATCTCCAACGCCGGCTCTCTGAATGAAACCTACCACCTCACCTTAGGCCTGCTGGGTCAGCTGCTGCTCCGGATCCCTCCGACGGAGGCCGACGCTGCTGTGACAGAAGCTCTGGCTGACAAGTACGAGTTGCTGATACAAGGAGAGATGTCCTGTTCAGACATCCAGGGCTGGAAGACCATACAGCTGCTTTTCAGCCTGGGCGCCGTCTGTTTAGACAGGTAAGAGACGTCCAACCAGCGCCGGTCCTCATTATGTTGTTATCCACCTGCTGCAGGACGATGCTGTAAATAATCACAGATACAGGACAAAGTTGCCTCTGTGTGAAAGATTTAAATGAAACAATCATGTGATTGAAGTGCAGATCAGTTTAATTCACCAGCCTTAACAAAATACTGCATAAACTGTTTTTATACGTTGGTCCTTTTTCAGAGGCTCGATGGTAGCTGAGCAAAATAACATTTCAAACAGAAGGACTGTTTTTAATCCTTTTTCTGAATGCGTGGACATCAGCGCTCTGACAGACCTGTAGCTGCCCTCAGATGCTTTTAGTTTGTCTCTCTGCCTTGAGCTTCCTCTCCAGTAACTGAAAAGCTTCTGGGTTCAGTTTGAGCGTCTGACAAAAGCTCCAATCTTTGCAGAAGCTCTCGTGTGTTGAGCGATCAGCGTTTGGCTGAATCTGAGTATTGGTCCACAAATGCATCCTGCTGCTTTCTATCAGCCGCTACATCTTGAGCAGGGTCGGCGTGATGACGTCTAACATGTCCTCATGTGCATTAACATTAAATGTAATCATGCTCTATAGCAACAGTTACTATAATGAACAACTTCATCAAACTGTATTTGTTCACAGATGTTGGCAAAGTGCATTTAACGGTCTCTTTATATTTATGGTCTCCTCACAACAATGAAGCGAAACACTGGGCCAATACAACGTGTTTGTTAATGCAGGGACACACGTGTTGATGTGATCCTGGTCTCCCACTCAGAGTCTCCGTCCACATTCAGACCTGAGGACACTCAGTGTGACAGGAGATCAGCTCGCACAGACATGTAGAGCCAAATACTGTCAATAAGGCCTGTGCAGTGTTTTTAAGCCAGTTAAACCTGTCAGGTAGTGACGTCCAGCAGGTGAACATGCAGCTGCATGAACACGCACAGCTGTGGATTCCAGCTGCGCTCGTAGTTCTCAAACTTCGACCCCACAGAGTCGAGCTTTCAGTTCAATCAGCTGCATTTCGATGTCCTCTGTGTCTGAGAGACAAATCCAGCTGCTTATTGAAGCTTTCTGGTTTGATTAGAAAAGAAAACATTGGTCCAAACACCTCAAAGTCCTGAAAGCGTCTCGAGTCTTCGGATGTATC